TGTCTTCCAATTAATTGATGGTGTGATGGTTAATTGGCAAGAATTTTCTTTCTTAGATATACATGAAGTAATGGCACTACTTAACCCATTAGTGACATCATTAATTTAATGAAAAAGAATTTACATGTTAGATTATTCATGGTGTAGGCCCAGAAACAGAGAGTTAAGGGCTAAGGTTAGTGTAGTGAGTTGAGTAACACTGAAGAAGATAGACATAGAATATTTGTTCTTTGTCTCTTTTTGAAGGTTTCTTCATACTAGTATTCTCATCCTTACAAAAGGATCAGGAGATTGTAAGGCCTTTAAACTAAACTTAATAAACACTCCAAACATTTAGTTTCATTAAAAGGGCAAAAGGGAGTCCTGAATTGAAATGAATGTTCTTATCTTTTCATATCCAGAAGTGTACAGAATTTGCGCTTGGCTCTCTCCTCAATCTGCATTATCTTTCTTAAAGATTTCATTCCTTCTCTAGTTTTCATTTCTAATCTTTAATTGTTGTCTTCATGTTCTTCCTCCTGTATCCGTTCTGAGTTGGCCTTGTTTGCTTATTTACTTATTTTGTTTAATTGAGTTTTGGGGGGAGCAGTTTTAGATTTACAGAAAATTGAGGAGGAAATATAGAGTTCCCATGTAGTTCTCATATAGAAACTTCCCTACCAGGTTTCTTCTATTATTAACTTCTTGCATTTGTGGTACATTTATCATAATTGATGAGCCAAAATTGATACATTATTATTTAGCCCATAGATTACATTTTGTTCATTCTTTGTGTTATACATTTTATAGGTGTTGACATTAGCTATCATTATAGTATCAAACAGAATAGTTTCACCCTAAAAATCCCCTGTGCATTACTTTTTCATCCCTTCCTTTTCTGACCCCCTGCACTCCCTGGCAATCATTAACCTTTTTATTGTTACCGTAGTTTTGCCTTTTCTATAAAGTCATATAGTTGAAATCATATGTAGCCTTTTAAGATTGGCTTCTTTCACTTAGCAGTATTCATTTAAGCTTCCGTTATATATTTCTTATAGTTTGATAGCACATTTTAAAAATATTATTGAATGTTATTTAATTGTATGGGTTATATTATAGTTTATCGACCTATTGAAGGACATCTTGGTTATTTTCAAGGTTTGGCAAGTATGAATAATGAATTAGCCTTTTATAAAACACAAATGTGATCTAAAGTACCTTAAGTTACTCATAGAAAAAAGAGTTGAGGCAGTTCATTATCTTGAACCTTAAAGAATGATAGCTCTTTTACATTATATCGAAAATTTTTGTTATGAGTTATTGGCTTATAACAATGTTCAATATGTGTGCGGAATGATTGAATATATAAGAAAGCAAGGAGATATGGAAGAGAAGGGGGAAAGATTATATAAAAAATCTGGATAATTTTTAGAAAATGAGATGTTTAGAAATCTAGCTGGAAATTTGAATGGGGACCAAGCTGTTCAGGGCTCTGAGCTTCAAAACCCTGCAGAACAAAAGCATCATCAAGCTGGTCCCGAAAACAGGTCATGAAGCCTGTTTCACTTTATGTGCTATGGAAATGATAGGAAGAAAGTAGGGTTTATTTTTTGAGAAAGAGTGAAAGAAAAGAAGGCAAATTTTATAGAACAGAGAATCGGCCAGTTGATTGATGATCATGAGTAGAAGTCAGGCATTGATAGCAGGAAAATAATTGCATAAAATCTGTGGATAGTGGTCTTTATTTTGTATTGCTGAGATATATTTTCTTCTTAATAAAAATATTACTAATGTGAGGAAGTTGTTTATTTATTGGACTTAGGATTCACTGAATATTTTGGTTTATAATTTTTTGGAATCTAAGAAATATAGATGTGAGCCATAAAGTCACTTGAATATCAAAAAAATTTTGTTTTAGAAATGCTAACTAGTATGCCCCCAAGTGTCAATAACTAGCTTGAATTTGTGTATAATAATTTCTAAATTCTAATCCTGATTCCAAATAAAAACTTACCTGTCAGATTATGTTATGGTAATACTTTAGTGGTTTACTTAATTGTCAATAAATAATACTATATTTTTCATAGGGCTGAACATACAACTGTTTTGAGTACAATTTGTTAAATATTTTAGGGAAAACAAAATAAATGAAACCACTGCCTCTGTTTATGTAGACTGTACACGAAACACGGAAAAAATAAGTAGGAAGAAAACGCAATTTAGGTTATGATACATGCTCTAAGGCTTTTAAAGAAGTGTGATATTTTTAGTTATAGTGAGTCAAAAAGTTTGTTGTATGGTTGACATTTGATGGCCAGCAGGGGAGAGTAGTTGTGGGCGATCAGACCAGCAGAGGGGGGCTGTTGGGAGGGTCCAGGCCTGCAAGGAAGGGCAGTTGGGGCAACCAGGCCTGCAGGGGAGGGCAGTTGGGGACGACTAGACCTGCAGGAGAGGACAGTTGGGGGCAATGATGCTGGCAAGTGAGGGCAGTTAGGGGTGAGCAGGCTGGCAGGAGATAGTAGTTAAGGACAATCAGGCTGGCAGGGGAGCAGTTAGGTGTTGATCAGGCTCGCAGGGGAGTGGTTAGGGGGTGATCAGGCTGGCAGGCAGAAGCGATTAGGGTCAACCAGGCAGGCAGGGATGTGAGTGGTTGGGAGCCCACAGTCTTGGATTGTGAAAGGGATGTCTGACTGGGCCTACATGGACAGACGGGCATCCCTCAAGGGGTCCCAGATTGGAGACAGTGCAGGCTGGGCTGAGTGACACCCCCCACCCCATGCACGAATTTTATGCATTGGGTTTCTAGTATCTTATAAATTTATAGTTTTAATTTGCATATTACTTTTTTATTAGAAAGGACTAGAGGCCCAGTGCATGAAATTCATGCATGGGGTTGGGGGCTGGGGAGTGTCCCTCAGCCCAACCTGCATCCTCTCCAATCTGGGACATCACTCTCACAATTCAGGACTGCTGGCTCTCAGCTGCTTGCCTGCCTGCTAGTCTGATCACCCCCTGACCACTCCCCTACCAGCCTGATTGATGCCTAACTGCTCCCCTGCCAGCCTGTTTGCCCCTAACTGCCCTCCCCTGCAGGCCTAGTCACCGTAACTGCCCTCTCCTACAGGTCTGGTCACCCCCAAGTTCCCTCCCCTGCAGGCCTGGTCTCCCTCAACTGCTCTTCCCTGAATGCCCGGTTGCCCCAACTTCCCTTCTCTGCCGGCCTGGTCACCTCTAACTGTTCTCCTCTGCAGGCTTGATCACTCCCAACAGCCCTCCCTTGCAGGCCTGGTCACCATAACTGCCCTCTCCTACACGTCTGGTCACCCCCAAGTTCCCTCCCCTGCAGGCCTGGTCTCCCTCAACTGCCCTTCCCTGAATGCCCGGTTGCCCCAACTTCTCTTCTCTGCCGGCCTGGTCACCTCTAACTGTTCTCCTCTGCAGGCTTGATCACTCCCACTGTCCTCCTTTGCAGGCCTGGTCCCTCTCAATTGCCTTCTCCTGCTGGCCTGATTGCCCACAACTGCCTTCCCTTGCAAGCCTGGTCCTTCCCAACAGCCCTCCCCTGCAGGCCTAGTCACCGTAACTGCCCTCTCCTACAGGTCTGGTCACCCCCAAGTTCCCTCCCCTGCAGGCCTGGTCTCCCTCAACTGCCCTTCCCTGAATGCCCGGTTGCCCCAACTTCCCTTCTCTGCCGGCCTGGTCACCTCTAACTGTTCTCCTCTGCAGGCTTGATCACTCCCAACAGCCCTCCCTTGCAGGCCTGGTCACCATAACTGCCCTCTCCTACACGTCTGGTCACCCCCAAGTTCCCTCCCCTGCAGGCCTGGTCTCCCTCAACTGCCCTTCCCTGAATGCCCGGTTGCCCCAACTTCCCTTCTCTGCCGGCCTGGTCACCTCTAACTGTTCTCCTCTGCAAGCTTGATCACTCCCAACAGCCCTCCCTTGCAGGCCTGGTCACCATAACTGCCCTCTCCTACATGTCTGGTCACCTCCAAGTGCCCTCCCCTGCAGGCCTGGTCTCCCTCAACTGCCCTTCCCTGAATGCCTGGTTGCCCCAACTTCCCTTCTCTGCCGGCCTGGTCACCTCTAACTGTTCTCCTCTGCAGGCTTGATCACTCCCACTGTCCTCCTTTGCAGGCCTGGTCCCTCTCAATTACCTTCTCCTGCTGGCCTGATTGCCCACAACTGCCTTCCCTTGCAAGCCTGGTCCCTCCCAACTGCCCTCCCCTGTTGGCCATCTTGTAATGACCATCTTGTGTCCACATGGGGACAGAATCTTGTGTCTACATGGGGTTAGTCATCTTGTGTGTTAAGAGTAATGGTCAATTTGCATATTACTCTTTTATTAGATAGTATAGAGGCCTGGTGCATGGGTAGGAGTCAGCTTGTTTGCCCTAAAGGGTATCCCGGATCAGGGTAGGGGTTGGCCCATTGGGCAGCCTGGGCAAGGGGCCTGTGGTGGTTTGCAGGTTGGCCACGCCCCCCAGTGACCCAAGTGGAGGCCCTAGTATCTGGGATTTATTTATCTTCTATAATTGAAACTTTGTAGCCTTGAGCAGAGGTCAAGGCAGGTCAGGGCTGCTGAAGCTTGGCTTCCTCCATTGCCGGGTACATCTCAAGCCTCCTGCTCTCTCCAGCTTTGTGGCTGCTGCCATTTTTGTTGGGATTTATTTATCTTTTATAATTGGAACCTTGTAGCTTTGAGTGGAGGCCTGGGCCGGCCAAGGTGTGTGGAAAACTTGGCTTCCTCCATTGCCAGGGAAACCCAAGCCTCTTGCTTGCTCTGTGGCCGCAGTCATCTTGGTTGGGTTAATTTGCATACTCGCTCCTGATTAGCTGGTGGGCATGGCTTTGGGGTGTAGTAGAGTAATGGTTAATTTGTAAATTACTCTTTTATTAGATAGAATTAACATGCTGAGATTTTGTTCTTCAAATGGATCTTTAATATACTTTCCTTTCTCCCATTTTAAACCTAGTTTGTTTTCTTTTTAAAAATAATATATTTGCTTTCTTTGTTGTAGAACTGTGGCTGCTGAAGTTAGGAAGCAGATCTCTGGGCAATATAGTGGTTCTCCTCAACTGCTTAAAAACCTCAACATTGTTGGCAATATATCCCATCATACCGCAGTAAGTAGCATATTTAAAATATGGATATGGTATGTTATTGGTATATTACTGACTAGGCCATGAAAAAATAGTGGAAAGATAGGATCCAGTAGATTGGATAGCATCACTAGTTTCATAACCTTATTTATTGTTTTCTCTTTCCTGAAATTTGAGTTGGGGGAGAATATTAAGAAGTATTATAGAAGTGTTGATTTCCTAGTCAATTCTGAAACTACATTCAGGATTTAATCAATTCTGAAATTTTAACTTTTTTTTATGACATTGACTTGAGGAAATTGGGTTAGTTGTCTTACAGTATATCTTGCCTTTTGGATTTTATGTTTGCTTCCTTGTAGACTTATTTCTCTATTCCTTGTATTTCCTGTATCTGATTAGATTCTGATGCAGCTTTTTTGAAATTTCTTCCTGGTAGACTTGTTTTTCTACTTCTGTATTTCCTGTAACTGATTAGATTCTGGCTGAACTTTTTTTAAACAGTTTTATTGAAATTTAATTTATTTATCATACAGTTCATCCATTTAATGTACAATTCAATGGATTTAACATATTCAAAGATATGTGCAACCATTGCTACAGTCCAGTTAGAATACTCTTTAGCTATAACCCTTTTACCCCCTTTCCTTCAGGCACAAACAACCACTAATTAAATGCCAGAAGGTTTTTTTTTTGTTGTTGTTGTTGTTTTAATATATTTTTATTGATTTCAGAGAGGAAGGATGAGGAAGAGAGAGAGAGAAACATCAATGATGAGAGATAATCATTGACTGGCTGCCTCCTGCATGTACCCCACTGGGGATCGAGCCTGCAATCCAGGCATGTGCTCTTGACTGGAGTCAAACCTGGAATCCTTCAGTCCGCAGGCAGATGTTCTATCCATTGAGCCAAACCAGCCAGGGCTAAGTGCCAGAAGTTTTGATGGCACGCTAAAAAGAATTGAAAGAGATCTTTACTCTATGTCAGCCAAAATAAAAATAAAATAAACATGTCAGTCAAAATTCCAATGCAATGATTGCTGAAGTTAGATAAGTTCTCACATTGCCTGTGAGAGATTCTGTAGTGCTTTCCTATTCTCTTTGTCACCTTTAACCCTGCTTGCTGCCATATCACTCACTCTCTCATATAAAGTCATGTTGCAATCTTCTTCTTATTGTCAGTGAATACAGGATCTTTCTTTGGAATCTTGTAAAATAATTTATAGTTGTAAGGAGCTCATCAATACATCCCAAGACTAACTCAGGCTGCTGTCTCCCCATGGGCATCAGAGGGAATGGAGACCATTGTAGCAAAAATAAATTTGTTTCCTTGATCTAGCTAACATTACACCTAGAAAACCATTGACCTTCTCTATAAATTATAGAAACAAGATCAGTTATCCTCTATGTGATTTAATGTTTTTAAGAGAGTGTCATAGCTTCCTATGACACCCTAATACTCGTTACTCTTTTTTAAAAATTGATTTTAGAGAGGTAGGGAGAGGGAGAGAAAGAGAAACATCAATGATGAGAGAGAATCATTGATTGGCTGCCTCCTGCACATCTCCTACTGGGGATTGAGTTCGCAACCTGGGCGTGTACCTTCGGCCAGAATTGAACCTGGGACCCTTCAGTCCACAGGCCAACACTCTCTTCACTGAGCCAAACTGGCTAGGGCCTAACACTCTTGATATGGTTGGTATTTTGAGGAAAAATTAATTTTGAATTAGACATGTGTGAGGTCTTCCAACTTTTGTCATTTTCATTGAATATTCATTTGTGATACTTTAAATCTTAAAAATTATACTGTCCCCAAAATAATATCTGGGTGGAGAAGCATTGACTTCAGTTTTTTAAAAATGTTCATTAAATTTTTTTTATACATCTATCTGGTGTTAAAATATATATAACAAAATTTACCAATTCATTTCTAAATGTATAATTCAGTGGTATTAAGTATATCATAGTGTTGTGCAACTATTACCACTAGCTATTTCCAGAAATTTTTTATCCCAAAATGAAACTGTATACCCATTAAACAATAATTCCCTATTCTCTCTCCTCTCAATCCTTGGCAACTTCTATTTTCTGTCACTGAATCTGTCTATTCATGTACCTCATGTAAGTGGAATTGTACAATGATTGTCTTTTGTATCTGGCTTATTTTACTCATCTTAATGTCTTCAAAGCTCATCCATGTTGAATCAACCTATATAATAAAAGTGTAATATGCTAAGTATCTGACCAATCCATCAACTGTTTGATTGACCGCTTAACCAGTTCTGTGGCGTGTACTGACCACCAGGGGGCAGATGCTCTGACCGGTAGGTTAGTTTGCTCCTGGGGTCTGGCTGATCAGGACTGATGGAGAGGGCCAGACACACCCTAGAACTCTCCTGCAGTCCCTCCCCAGCCAGATAGCCAACCTCCTGTGGTCTCTCTCTGGCCCCAATCCCCAGTCAGGCAAAGGGACCCCACCCATGCACGAATTTGTGCACCAGGCCTCTAGTGTGTTATAATTTCAAAGGCTGAATAATATTTCATTTTGTTGTAAACCACATTTTGTCCATTCATCTGTTGATAGACATTGAGTTGTTTATATCTTTTGGCTATGGGTAATGCTACTATGAACATGAGTGTGCAAAATCAGTTTGAGTCTTTATTTGTTTTTGTTTTTTTGGTATTTACCTAGAAGTGATTTGGAACATCATATGGTAATTCTGTGTGTTTTTGTATTTTTTTCAGAACACCAATGTTTCACATCTGGACATTTGTTATATAATACTTCATAGTTTTGCCTAAATATTTTTTCTTCAGAAAATAAGTTGGGTGTCTTAATAAAAAGTATATTTTCAACTTTGCTAAGGAATGCCCTGAACATTCTGTTATTACTTTCAATATGGTCTGTGAATTAGTTTCCTTTGGCTGCTGTGATAACTTACCACAAACTGGGTGGCTTAAAAACAAAAGAAATTTATTTTTTCATACTACTTCTGTCCAAAAGTTTGAAATCAGCATCAATGGACTGAAATCAAGGTTTTGGCAAGGCCTCACTCTCTTTGGAGGATATAGAAGAGAATTAGTTCCTTGCCTCTTACAGATTCTAATTGTTACTTGTAATTGCATCACTTCTATCTTTAAAGCCAGAATCTTCAGATCTGTCTTTGTTATGTCTTCATATGGTTGTCTCCTCTGTGTGGCCCAACTCTTCCTGTCTTTATATAAGGATGTATATGATTGCATTTGTGATTCACTCAGATAGTTCAGGATAATGTCCACATTATAGATCATACCTTTTATTTTTTTATCTTAATTTTTTGTCATGAAAGGTCTACGGATTGGTATAGGGAGATCTTTTGGAGGACCATTTTTCAGCTTACCACAGTTTGATTATATGTTTTTACTAGGATAATCAACAATGGCAACAAAGTAAAAGTACTATTTAGAAACTTAGCAATGAAAATTCCAAAGATATAAAAAAGAAAAAAGAATTCCTCTATAAGCATTTTGTCACTGTAAATTATTATAAAACCATTAATGATCATTGCTGGCTTTACTTGAGAGACTTGGATAAAGTCTAAGCAAGAGGATTAAAGAGATTATAACCCAAAATCACATAGTTTCTTTAGTGCATCTGTTGAAAATTTAGAAGTAACTAGGTTAAAATATATTGTCTTTAAGAGAATAAAATTTTTTTTGCTTAAAGTTTTAAAATTCTTAACATTTGCCTTTTCCTTTCCATTCTCTTTTATCTCCTACATCTCCTCCTTCTCCCCCCTTTTTATAAAGGTGCCCCTTACGGAAGCAGTGGATCCAGTGGATTTAGAAGAGTACCTTGCTACTCATCCTTTAGGTGTGGATTCTGGACCTTTAAGGGAATTGGTTGAATTCCCTCCAGATGATATCGAAGTTGTTCATAGTCCTAGAGACTGCAGAACCCTTGTTTCAGCTGTACCTGAAGAAAGGTAAGAAGACATTAACCTATTTTTGGTTTTAGTAACTACAGAAAGGCTACGATCCATTATTTGATTTATATCCTATTTCTTACGGTAGGGCTATTTTCTGTTATACAAACAGAGAGTTATAGCAACCAAATTCACCAACATTGCTGCTTTTCTGTTTAAATTACAAATGTTTTTCTTTTAAAATAGTGAAATGGATCCACATGTTAGAGATTGTATAAGAAGTTATACAGAAGACTGGGCAATTGTGATCAGAAAGTAAGTTATATGTTTATGATAGCATTTAAAAATACTAAGTAGGATCTATAAATAGATTAAGGTAAATTAGTAATAATTATGAAACCTAAAAATTACTTTAAACAAGTAGCTGAAGAAGCAAAAGATATCTTCAGACATATGTCTTCTCTCTAGGAGTTCCACAATTACTCTTACTTACTTTTCTTACAAAATAATAGGTTTGTGGAGATAATATTTTCATGTTATCATAGATCACTAATAACTGATAGTATATAATTAAAATGATTTATAGTCTAATTCTTTTGGGAAATCATGGGTAGTTATTGATGAATGATTTTAGTTATTTTTTTATTTTATAAAATTTTTTTTTTATTGATTTTATACAGAGAGGAAGGGAGAGAGATAGAGAGTTAGAAACATCGATGAGAAAGAGTCATTGATCAGCTGCCTCTTGCACACCCCCTACTGGGGATATGCCCGCAACCAAGGTACATGCCCTTAACCGGAATCGAACCCGGGTCCCTTCAGTCCCCAAGCCGATGCTTTATCCATTGAGCCAAACCGGTTTCGGCTGATTTTAGTTTTTAATAATAATTCAATTTATTGAAATTTAAGTAATTAAATTAAAAAATATATTTTATTGATTTTTTTTTTTTTTTTTTTTTTTACAGAGAGGAAGGGAGAGGGATAGAGCGATAGAAACATCAATGAGAGAGAAACATTGATCAGCTGCCTCCTGTACACTTCCTACTTGGTATGTGCCCACAACCAGGTACATGCTCTTGACCGGAATCGAACCAGGGACCCCTGAGTCCACAGGCCGATGCTCTATCCAGTGAGCCAAAGTGGTTAGCAAAACTTTTATTTTGCTACTTTGCATAATGAAGATAAGAGTTTTTGTTTGAGACTTAATTTTTAAGCCTTATTTTATTTTATTTTATTTTTTTTAAGGAAATATGATGACTGAAATAGTGGAGAATTCTTTTATGACTTCTGTAGTTTTCAGAAATGAAGTACTGTGTGCTCAGTTGTTCTAGCAACAATAATGTATTCGTTGCTTATTGTTTTGCTCTTATGGCTTGTCTTATTTTACTGGATTTAACATTGTGCTAAGCCTCACTCTTGGGGATACTGCTGATATGCTTTTTAGTTTTAGTGTGACCTAATAAAAGCACAGACTGCTACTCTTTCTAAAGAAGAGCTGTTTTTATTAACTTACACTTTTGATAAGTATTTCAATAGCCAGCTTTTAGAATTTAGTGAAGAGAATGTCCCTCTGTCAGATAATTCAAAAGTTTTTACTTTAATATATGTATGTTGGAAACTTAAAACCAGAAATCTCAATAAATAGCTTAGTTGTAGATTTAAAATAGTTGTAGGAGGTTTAGTTTTGTTTGTTTTTAAAATATATTTTTATAGAATTATGGAATTTACTATTTAATTTTAATCATGGTGTTGCTGACCTTGATTTAGGCAACAGGGTAAGATAGTTAATGTTTATCGGTATTTACTATGTGCTGTCATTTTATTGAGCACTTTATACTCATCTCATTTAAAGTTTCAATAGAAAAGTAGCTTAGGCTCGGAGTAGTTAAGTAAATTCTTTGATCTCCCATAGCCAAATTGTGGTTTAGCCAGATTAGAACATAGGGGCATCAGATTCCAAACCTTTTAAATATTTTTTGTTATACTAGACTAGAGGCCTGGTTCATGAATTCGTGCACCAGTGGGGTCCCTCGGCCTGGCCTGCGGGATCAGGCTGAAACTGGTTTTCTGACAATCCCCGAGGTGTCTCAGATTGTGAAAGGGCACAGGCCAGGTGGAGGGACCCCTCTGGTCCACAATTGGGGCCAGGGAGGGACACAAGAAGTTGGCCAGCCAGGGAGGTTCTGTTGGATGACTTCAGGGCATATCCGGTCTGTCTCGCTCAGTCCCAATTGGCTGGACCCCAGCAGCAAGCTAATCTACTAGTTGGAACATCTGATCAATGGTCAGTGCACATCATAGTGACCGGTCGACCAGTCAACTGCCGCCTAGTAGTCAGTGCATATCATAGTGAGCAGTTGAGCGGCCTTAGCATATCGTTAGCATATTATGCTTTGATTGGTTGAACAGATGACTGGAGAACTGGACACTTAGCATTTTAGGCTTTTATTACATAGGATTATTTAGGATATTATTTATTATCTGCAGTGGTAAATGGAAGACAAAAAGGGTACTTTTAATAGACTAGAAGTTTTAAAGTATCCCTGGAAGATAGAACTATACATGCTTGGGCAAAGTAGGTTTGCAGTTCATATGGAAAATAATAAATAATAATAAAAGAATAAATTCTATGATTTGTGTACTCAAAACTATAAATCTATTTTTGCTGCACCCTGTATATAGTGTTTTAAGCTCAGAAGCAGTGAAATAGGTAGTGGAAGAGTGGCCTTGGGTATTATTTGGCATTTGTCTGCTTAGAAACCCCTGCACCGGGTGCCTTTTTAGAGACCAGTAAATATGGAGGCTTGAGTTGATGGTACCCAGAGAGGGCAAATTTTGGAAGAAGGAGCCCTTATTCCCAGAAGATTAGGTACTGACAGACTGCCTGGCAGTATGACTTGTCTCTTCTCCACAACTTTGGATATGGTCTGGGTTGAATAGATACAGTATTTCCAGACAGATATGCAGATACAAATTCAAAAATTAAGCATAGAACCCAGAATTGCCAAGTATTCGATGAAAATCATTGAATTTGAAAAAGAATTATGAAACTACAAATAAAAATTTAATACTTAGATGTGATGGGAGAGTGGAATAGACGAGGTCACACATCTTCCATAATTCAGCAAAAAGGAGAAAGGGAGAAAGTACTTCATTTATTTACTCATTCATCAAGTACTTATTGAAAGTCTAGAGTGTGCCAGACTAAGCAATCAACAAAACTAACATTCTGCCCTCACGGAACTTACATTCTATTTGGGGAAGAGGGCAATGGACAATAAACAAACACTGATAAATAATATAGACTAGATTTGATGGACGTAAGTCTTGTGCAGAAAAAAAAATGGGGTGAGGGGGATAGGAAGAGCCAAAATGATAGACTAAATGTCCTAATTTTATATAAGTAATAAGTTGAACAAAGATCTGAAAGAATTAAAAAAGTAAGCACTTTGGATATCTGGGGGAAGAGTGTGCATTAGGTAGAGGGAAGAACAGTACGTTGAAAGGCTTCATATTAGAAGCATGGTAGGAATGTTCAAGGAATAACAAAGAGGTCATTGTGGCTGGAATAGAGTAAGTGAGGGTGAGAATGCCATGCCAGGAAGTCAAAAATGATAATGTGTGTGGTTAGATGGGTAATTAAGTAGAGCCTTACATAGCAATTGACCAGAGGACAGAAAGATAATATATAAATTATCTTCTGAATAACACCTTACAGGTTACTATATGGAGTACTTTTATTTTAGTTCTTCCAAAGACAAATGCTTTCTTTTATTTTGTGATTATGCTGTGATGTGAATATAGTGTAGTTTCTATTTTTCTCCCCCAAAAGGGACATCCATTTTATTTTACTTGAACTTGAGCTTGGGACATTATTATAAGTAATACAAGCATAGAGCTCTGCCTTCTATGCAAGTTGGAGAATGCTTCTTAGAGTCACAGTCCATGGCACTATGCAAAATTGCTTAGTTGGTGCTAGCTGATGGTGACAGTGATTTGAATGGTGGTACTAATAACAACCCTAGCTAATAAAAGTAATATGCAAATTGACCGTCACTCCAAGACACAAGATGGCTGCCCCCATGTGCTCAAAGATGGCTGCTCCCATGTGGGCACAAGATGGCCACCACAAGATGGTCTGCAGGGGAGGGCAGTTGTGGGCAGTTAGGGGTGACTGGGCCAGCAGAGGAGGGCAGTTGGGGGAGACCAGGTCACCAGGGGAGGACATTTGGGGGGGGGGGACCAGGACTGCAGGGAGGGCAGTTGAGGGTGATCAGGCCAGTAGGGAGGGCAGTTGGGGGTGACAGAGCTGGCAGAGGAGGGCAGTTGAGGGAAACCAGGCCAGCAAGAGGGGCAGATGGGGTGGGGGGGAATACCAGGCCTGCAGGGGAGGGCAGTTAGGGGTGAACAGGCCAGCAGGGGAAGGCAGTTGTGGGGGGACCAGGCATGCAGTTAGGGGTGACCAGGCCAGCAGGCGAGGTCAGTTCAGGGTGATCGAGCCAGAAGGGGAGGGCAGTTAGGGGTGACCAGGCCTGTAGATGAGGGCAGTTAGGGGTGACCAGGTCAGCAGGTGAGGGCAGTTTGGGGGTGACTGAGCCAGGAGGCAAGGGCAGTAAGGGGTGACCAGGTCAACAGGCAAGGGCAGTTGGGGGTGACCAGGCCTGCAAGGGAGGACAGTAAGGGGCAATCGGGCCAACCGGGGAGCAGTTAGGCATCGATCAGGCTGGCAGAGGAGTGGTTAGGGGTGATCAGCCTGGCAGGCAGAAGCGGTTAGGGGCAACTAGGCAGAGGCAGATGAGCAGTTGGGAGCCAGCAGTCCTGGATTGTGAGAGGGATGGGCCTAAACGGGCGGTCAGATATCCCTTAAGAGGTCCTAGATTGGAGAGCATTCAGGCTGGGCTGAGGGAACCCCCCTCCCACCTGCCCCCCCATCCCACCTGCCCCGTGCACAAATTTCGTGCACCTGGCCTCTAATTATAAATAACTGTAGTTAGCTTCTATTTTAATATCTTTAGAAACAAGACATGATGTAAATGATTCATATTCAATTTGATTCTTTACTATTTCATAAATTGTCTGATATAAGAACCATATCATCCTCTGGTCATTGTAATTGTTTCTACTCCAATTAGGAATTTACCCTTGCCCTAATCGGTTTGGCTCAATGGATAGAGCTTTGGTCTGTGGACTGAAAGGTCCCAGGTTTGATTTCCGTCAAGGGCATGTACCTTGGTTGGGGGCACATCCCAGTAGGAGGTATGCAGGAGGCAGCTAATCAGAGTTTCTAACTCTTATCCCTCTACTTTCCTTTCTGTAAAAAAATCAATAAAATATATTAAAAAATAAATTTACCCTGTTTGGCTATATGAACTGTGGAACAATAATTGCTCTTTGATCTTAGTGTTTCTCCTTGATATTCTTGGGTATTGGATTGTTAGGAAAGAAGGTCACATTTATTTAAGAGTGTAATGATATATGTTAACTAAATATGTATACAATGATGTAGATCCTGAAGGTTTCATTTTAGAAGTCTGCATCTTTAGGTTGTTTAAGATATTTTATACCTAATGAGATAGAGCAAAAATATTTTGGCTATTTGAAATTTAAGATTCAATGCTTTATATATATTTTTTCCTTTTTAAATTTATATTATGAATGCAATATATATTTTCTATTCTCTCATTTTATTCTTCACCTTGGCTCTCTCATCCTTTCTTTTTACTGATCTATTCTCTGAATTCAAAATACAATTGTAAATTTCATGGTTGTCATAAAAAGGAGAGTATGATTTACTTCTGGAAATTCTTAACCTGCTCTCTAGTTGGATTAAAAGAACTTGCAAGGGAAGTTTTCTTAAACCTTTGGTTAATTGTTTAGCACACTCAAAACTGCTACTGTATATATTTATTATTAAATAAATATTCAGAGAATATTTGGCTTATTATTTGATGATGAAAAAGTGGAAATTTTTTGAAAATTGGTACTTACATAACTTTTATTTTGTATAGATATCATAAACTGGGAACAGGATTTAATCCCAATACATTAGATAAACAGAAAGAAAGGCAAAAAGGTTTGCCAAAACAGGTGTTTGAATCTGATGAAGCTCCAGATGGCAGCAGCTACCAGGATGAGCAAGTAATACTTTTATTTTGAAATTACTATTTAATGATATTTTAAAATGGCTTGTTTTATTCATTAATTAATATATTTATTTTTAATATTTTACATGTCAGGATGATCTTAAAAGACGTTCAATGTCAATAGATGATACTCCAAGAGGTAGCTGGGCCTGTAGTATTTTTGACTTGAAAAATTCACTTCCCGATGCTCTGCTTCCCAACTTACTTGATCGAACTCCAAATGAAGAAATAGACCGTCAGAATGATGACCAAAGGAAATCAAACCGTCACAAGGAACTCTTTGGTTTGCATCCATCACCAGATGAGGTATAGTTATTTGGGAATAAAGAAGCAAGTAATTATGAAATAGACATTTTGGGAGTATGAATTATATATAGTATAGTGTTATAATAATGTAGGGGATAAATCTCATCTGAATCATAGCTATAATTTTTATAAATGAAACATACTTTTTATTCTAGTGAATTTATTCTTAATGAGTAGCTTCTGTGAATTTAACTCACTTAAGATCTAGTAACTTCTGTTCTAGAATAAATAGGTCATTCTATTTTGTGTTCAATTGTGAAGACTAAAAGTACTAAATTAATAAAATAAGTTTTTAAAGAAATTGTGAAGGGTTGAAATATGATAAGCATGTTCATTTTGGTGTTGCTTGTCAATTTGTAGGAAGAACCAATAGAACGACTTAGTGTTCCTGATGTGCCCAAAGAACATTTTGGTCAAAGACTTCTTGTAAAATGTTTATCACTCAAGTGAGTATTCATTTCGTTTACTGCATACTTTGGTTTACTGTATTCTTTTGAGAAGTATTTTCTTGGCGTGGGGAATATAAAGATAACGTATCTTTTTCCTTAAAGAATTGATTGTGCCTTTGTCACATGGTAGGCTTTGTTTTTTTGAAGTACATACTTTTTCCTTCTTTAAAAAAGTTAAATATTAACATTTATATTATGCTTCACAAAATGCTTTCTCTTATTTTGTTTCATGCTGTCTTCAGAGTAATTCTGTAAGGTAGATATTATTTTCTTTATTTTATAAATGAGGAAACCAGGGTTCAAAAGCATTAGCAGAGATTAACTAGCATACTCATTATGCAACGTATGCTCTTTATACTCTATCATGTTAATATTATCAGTTAGTTACTAGTTCTGACTTATGAAAAAGAAGTTTCAATTTATATTTTTTTTGAAAAAAGCAATGCATAAGGACAGGCCACTTCTGTGTTTAGATAACATAGGCAATTTTCTTCCCTTGAAAGCTAAGGCTTTATGTGTTTAATTAAACATGAAAGAATGCATATTGAAAATCAAATATGATACCATTTACGCACTGGAATGGCTAAGAAAAGCCAGACAATTCAAAAAGACTAGCATTGTCAAGTGTTACAAAGGATACCTAGTAGAGGCTTAATCGTGTACACGGTATAACCGAGACCCCTATTCTTTTGACATCTGGTTGAGGTTTGCTAAGAGAGGCATCAGTAAGAAGTCAGAGGGTGGAAGAGAGTGAGATCAAGTTGGGGTACTTGTTTTTCTTAACTCATTCTTTGCTAGATAACATTGATTAGTTGTCACTCTGTGAAGGGTCCTCCATAGAGCTATTTTTTCTAATTTTGGTTACCACTTGCACATTTTCCTTTAGGTTAGGTTAGTGGTTGGCAAACTCATTAGTCAACAGAGCCAAATATCAACAGTACAACGATTGAAATTTCTTTTGAGAGTCAAATTTTTTAAACTTAAACTTCTTCTAACGCCACATCTTTAAAATAGATGTGGTATTTTGTGGAAGAGCCAAACTCAAGGGGCCAAAGAGCCTCATGTGGCTCTTGAGCTGCAGTTTGCAGACCACGGGGTTAGGGGGATGATAATGAGCTGCTGATGTTGCTGTTCCAGGGAATAGCATTCTCTGTAATTGTTTCCCCTAAAGTTATGTCCAAATCTTTGTCAATGGCTTTTTATTAAACTCTTAATCCAATGAAAATATGTTGTTTATCTCCTCTAAGGACTTTGGCTGATAGTCATATAATAAAAAAATGAGCATTATTGACATTTTTGTCTGGGGCTCTCCTATCCTATATAGTAAAACCCTAATATACAAATCGACCAAATGGCAGAATGACCAGTCACTATGACATGCACTGAGCACCAGGGGGCTGGTGCTTACTGCAGGAGCTGCCCCCTGGTGGTCAGAGTGCTCCCAGGGTAGGTGGGCCTATGGCTGGTGAGTGAAGTGGCAGTGGTGGGAGCCTCTCCCACCTCCACGGCAGTACTCGGGACCCCTTGGGGGATATCCGACTGCCAGCCTAAGCAAGCAGGCAGACATTCCCCAAGGAGTCCCGAGCTGCAAGAGGGCACAGGCTGGGCTGCGGGAACCCCCCGCCACCCTCCAGTGCATGAATGTCATGCACCGGGCCTCTAGTTTATATATAATAAAAACCTAAGCGACTGTTATAAGCAGACAACCAGAACGCTGGTGGTCAGTGCTCTCCCACAGGGAGCGTGCCACTCAGCCAGAAACTGTGCTCATGGCTAGTGAGCACATCAACTGTGGCGGGAGCCTCTCCTGCCTCTGCGGCAGCACTAAGAAGCAGCAAGCCAAGCGTAAGGAGTGAGCAGGTGGGCAGCAAGGAGCAAGGGATCCTGGATTGTGAAAGGGATGCCTGACTGCCAGCTTAGGCCTGATCCTTAGGGGTATTGGGCCTATGCTGGCAGTCAGACCTAGACTATGACCCCAGGGGGTCCTAGACTATGAGAGGGTGCAGGCCTGGCTGAGGGAACCCCCCCCCCTTTCACCCCCCCAGAGCATGAATTTTGTGCACCGGGCTTCTAGTATAATATAAAATGGTTAGCCACCTCCCTGGCCGCTGCTCAATAAATGTCAGTAATAATCCTGGAGTAATTATAATAATCAAAAATATCTCCAGACATTGCCAGATTTCTTCTTGGAGGCAAATTATCCTTGGTTGATAACCACTGTTCTACCATTTTATTAACCTTCTATTATATTTTATTTCATTTAGCAAATATTGATTGAGTGTTTACTAAATGTAAGTCATTGTGGAAGTCAATTAGACATCTCAACTTACACATATCGTTATAAAATAAGTAATGAAAATTAGTAGGCCAGCATTTAAAATGATAGAATAATATTTATGTCATGGGAATATATCCATAAAATATTAAGTTTAAAACAGACTATAAAATATGTATATAGTGACATTCTTTATTTAAAAACTAATCGATTTAATAAGTGCATTTATACATAGAGAAAAATCTGGGTGGATAGGCACTAAACTGTTAATTATGGTTCTATGTTATGAAATTTTGGATGCTCCCATTTTCTTTCAAATATTCTTTACATTGAATATGTGATTTACATACTGAAAACGAAAACATTAGGTCTTTACTTTTAAAATTTATTTAAAATCTTATATATCTACATACACAAATAACCAAATTATAGTTAAGAAAGTACTTAGTGTCAGAACGTGGACTTAAAATGCCATGAACTTTTATGCAGAGATTACTTATAGCTGGAAAAATTAAAGAAGATAACCTAGAGTAGGTAATGGTTGATATAAATTGAAAGATATGCCTAGAAAAGTGTGTTTCAGGAAGAAGGGACTAGCATAGAGGGTGTAGCACAGATGTAGGAAAATACAAGATATTGAGATTATTTTTGGAATGAGAATTTCTCTTCAATTATGTATTCTATATTTATTTTTAAACTACTTCATTCTTTTTCTTCCTAAAGGTTTGAGATTGAAATTGAGCCCATTTTTGCAAGTTTGGCTTTATATGATGTCAAGGAAAAGAAAAAGGTAAGGTTATATGATTTAAACATAATAGGTTTCAGAAACCTGATTTTAAGTTGTTTTATAAGATAAATAAGTAACAATTTTTTATGAATTATTAAAGATTGATATTTCACAAAGGAAAATGGAAATTGTAAGACTTGAGTATTTTCTTACTAAGGAATAATTTAGTTGATACCTAAATTTTATTTCATTGAAAGAACTCCAAAAGCCAGTAGCAACTTTTAATTGTTGATTTTACCATCATCATTTACAGAAGCTATCGTATCACAGCATTTCTTACTTGAATATTTTAAGCCTAAAGATAGTAAAAACTTGAAGTGCCTTCAGTGACGTCTGCTGTCAAAATATTATGGTTGGTGCAATGGAACTTTCCTTGAGCAACTTGTATTTGCTAAGTCAAAACTGCTGATATATTTACACTAATAAGCGAAAGATGCATATTGGTCGTACCTTTGCGATGCCCACCAGCCAGTCAGGAGTGAGCATGCAAATTAACCCAACAAAGATGGTGGGTTAATTTGCATATGCAGGTGCTGAGCTGCCTAGGGCGGGGCAGGGCGCTTGCATCGTTATCATGCGGATGACACAGGCATTCCGTACTGCCCCAGCCACTCGGGGACTCTGGGCAGCGTGGGAAGGCAGGGCTGGAGCAGAAAGGCAGCTCTGGAGCCAGAGTGCAAAGATGGTGCTGGCAGCCAAGGAAAGGAAGGCCCATTCCTGCATGAACCTTCATGCATCGGGCTTCTAGTTATTCATATAATTTTTAAAGAAATTTTGGGATAATTCATCTTAATAATAACTTCTTTGTATATTTTATTAGAGGTTGCATTTCTTTTCTTTTTTTCCCCTTTCTCTCCTTTTCTATTTATTTTTATTTTCAAAAAAAGAATAGTAATAGTGACTCCTGAATTGTTTTTAGTGTGACTGAACGTGGAAACTCATTATTTTATAGATATAGTCTGACTTTTTTAAATAAGTGCAAGATAACCTATGTTTGTCAGAAAGAATCTTATTTTCCACTTTCATGTCCACTAAATCAGCCTCTGAGACAATGCCTCAGATTTTACTAGCCATCTTTGCACCTTAGGATTTTTCAGCTCCTCTGATTTTCCTTCTGTTTTTCTCTTTCCTTCTTGTAGAATTTTCAGTCAGTTGACTACCTGTAGCTCTGGGCAAAGTCCACTCTACATTTTAGTTGTATTCCATTGAAATTGTTGTGTGCTGCTGTGGTTAGGTGTCTACCTGAGCAGCCATCTTGGATCCTAGAGGTTGCATTTCTAATCAGAAGAGTTTGGGATATGTTTCTTTAGACTATGTTTATTGTGTTATATTTCTCAAATAGTTTGTACATTTTTTTGGTTGTAAAGAATGGTCAGTGACATATATGATAAGCTATATGTTATAGTATAAATATTTAAATATCTATAATAGTTTAAGATTAGGTATATATGATTTTTTTGTGTGAGTTTTTATAAAATGTAAAAATGTAAAAATTTGATATATGATTTTATTTTTTAGATTTCAGAAAACTTTTATTTTGACCTTAATTCTGAGCAGATGAAAGGATTGCTACGTCCACATGTACCACCTGCTGCCATTACCACCCTGGCAAGATCAGCTATTTTTTCTATCACTTATCCTTCCCAAGATGTTTTTCTTGTAATAAAGGTGAGAATAATATATATATAAAAGCCTAAGTGACTGAACAACCAGTTGCTATGACATGCACTGACCACCGGGGAGCAGACACTCAATGTAGGAGGTGTCCTCTGGTGGTCAGTTCACTCCCACAGCCAACCTCCCATGGCTGGCCAACCTCCTGCGGTCCCTCCCCCTGGCCAGCTGGCCCCAATTGGCCCCAATCGCCAGCCAGGCCAAGGAAGCCCACTGATGCACAAATTCATGCACCGGGTCTCTAGTGTTAAATATATTTGTTTATTTGTGTGGTGTGTATACTCATCTATCAGTGGTGCAGTTTTTCATGGGCACAGATTAGCCTTTACTTACTTTTTCTTCTTAGTATTCTTTAACATACACTAAAGGTGCTACTAATTTTTTTTCTTCAGTTAGGGGCTGTATTAGTCAGGGTTCTCCATAGAAACAAACTTGTAGGATAGACACACACAAACACACACACACACACACACACACACACACACAGAAAGGAAGGATTTGGCTGAGGGCTAGCAAGTCTGAAATCTGTATGGCAGGCAGGCAGGCTAGAAATTCAGGTAAGAGTTGTTGTTGTCTTGAGTTTTAATCCCACAGAGCAGCATACTAGAAACTCAGGCAAGTAGTTTTGAGAATATCTTTTTTTATTTTTATTTTATTTTATTTTATTTTTTTAATATATTTTATTGATTTTGTACAGAGAGGAAGGGAGAGAGATAGAGAGCTAGAAACATCGATGAGAGAGAGTCATCGATCAGCTGCCTCTTGCACACCCCCTACTGGGGATATGCCCGCAACCAAGGTACATGCCCTTGACCGGAATCGAACCCAGGACCCTTCAGTCCCCAAGCCGACGCTCTATCCATTGAGCCAAACCGGTTTCGGCGAGAATATCTTTTTTTTAGAAACCTCAGTTTCTGCTCTATGTCCTTTAATGAATTGGATGAGGCTCACCCACATCATGGAGGGGTAACCTATTCTACTCAGTTTACTGACTTAAATGTTAATCACCTCTAAAAAATACCTACACAGCAACATCTAGTCTGATATTTGGTCAAACAACTGCTTTCGTTCTATTTGATATATACCCAGAACTATATTTTCTGAATTGCATGGTAGTTCTATTTTTAATATTTGAGGAATCTTTGTACTCTTTTCCATAGTGGCTGCACCATTTTTTACATTTCACTAGTAGTTGCCAAGTGTGCCAGTTTTTCCATATCCTTACCAGTATTTGTTGTATATTTATTTATTTTTGAGAGTAGCCATTCTGATGAATGTAAAATGATCTTATTATGATTTTGATTTGCATTCCCCTAATGATTAATGGTTTGAACATCTTTTCATATGCTTGTTATCCATTTGTATAGCTTCCTTGGAGAAATGTCTACTCAAATCCTTTGCGTATTTAATAATCAAATTATTATTGTTTTAAGTTATTGGATTTTAAAAATTCTGTTCTGGATATTAACTCCTTATCAGATATATGATTTCTCTCATTTCTTGTCTTTCCTGATGATTGTGTCCTATGAAGCACAAAAGTTTTAAATTTTGATGTAGTCCAGTTTATTTATTTTTACTTTAATTATCTGTGCTATTTTTGTCTCAAATCCAAGAAAACATTGTCAAATCCTTTTTTTTTTTTTTCCTAAGAGTTTTATAATGTTAGGTCTATGTTTAGTCTTTGATCTATTTTAAGGGAATTTTTGTATATGACATTAGGTAAAGGTATAATTTTATTTTTTGCAATTGGACATTCAGGTTTTTTGTTTTTAACACCATTTGTTGAAAAGACTCTTCTTTTCTCATTGAATTATCTTGGTACCCTTGTTGAAATTTATTTAACTATATAAACATGGGTTTATTTCTGGACTCTATTCTACTACATTGATCTATATATATATATCCTTAAGCCAATACCACACTGTTTTGATTACTGTAGCTTTATATTAAGTTTTGAAATCAAGAAGTGTGAGGCTTCCAGCATTTAACTTCATTCCTTTTTTTTAAAGCTTGTTTTGACTTTTCAAGGTGCTTTGAGATTCCATATGAATTTGGGGATGTATTTTTCTATTTCTGCAAAGAAAAATAACACACTATTATTGTGACTTTGATTAAATCTACACATTGTTGTAGGTAGTATTGACAACTGCATTAAGCTTTCCAGTTCATGAAGATCTGGATCTTTTGCCATTTATTTGTTTTTTGCCATTTATTTGTTTCCTTTCTTTCTTTCTTTCTTCTTTTTTTTTTTTAACCACAGTTTTAGTTTTCAAAATACAAATCTTTCAGTTCTTGGTTAGTTCCTCAGTATTTTATTATTTTTGATATTATTGTAAATGGAATTGTTTTCTTAATTTCTTTTTCAAATTGCTTCATTTTTTAGTGTATAGACATGCAACTTATTTTTGCATGTTTTGTATCTGACACTTTGCTAAATTCCTTAATTAGTTCTAAAGTGTGTGTGTGTGTGTGTGTGTGAAAGAGAGAGAGAGAGAGAGAGAGAGATAGAGAGAGAGAGAGAGAGAGAGAGAGAGAGAGAGAGAGAGAGAGAGAGAAATATTAGGGTTTTCTGTATAAAAGATCATGTCTCTTCATAGAGGTAATTTTACTTTTTCCTTTATAATTTGATTGTGTTTTATTTCTCTTTCTTGCCTTATTGCTCTGACTCAGTCTTTCAATTACTACATTAAATAGAATTGGTAAAAGTGAGCATCCCTATCTTGTTGCTGACCTTAAACACCTAGTGTGATGTTATCTTGTGGGGTTTGCATATAAGGGTTTGATTATATTGAGGTAGCGCTCTTCAATTCCTAGTTTGATGAGTGTTCTTTTATGAAAGTATATTGAATTTTGTTCAGTGCTTTTTCTGTATACTTGAGATGATTATGTAGTTTTATTATATTGATTAATTTTTATATGGTGAATCATCCTTGCATTTATGCTTATAGCTTTTTTTTTTTTTAAAGTTTAATCTTTAATTATTGTCTTTGACAGTTAGAAAAAGTCCTACAGCAAGGAGACATTGGAGAGTGTGCAGAACCATATATGATTTTCAAAGAAGCAGATGCCACCAAGGTATAGAATATCATTTCTCTCATTTCTCCCACTTTTGTATTTATTGCCATTTCCCCCAAATCCCCAAACCTAGTCCTAAATTACCTCTAATCTCCTGAGTTTTTATTTGGGAAACTACTATATAAAGCATACTAATAAATTTAATTCATTTTTTTCTATTATCCTACTCAGTTTCTTTATTTGCTTTGCCACCTAGCTCTTGTCACATGCTGTGCTATTTTTTAAAAATATCCCTCACCAGCCGAAACCGGTTTGGCTTAGTGGTAGAGCGTCGGTCTGCGGACAGAAGGAAGGGTCCCAGGTTCGATTTCTGTCAGGGGCATGTACCTTGGTTATGGGCACATCCCTGGTAGGGGGTGTGCAAGAGGCAGCTGGTTGGTGTTTCTCTCTCATCGACGTTTCTAGCTCTCTATCTCTCTCCCTTCCTCTCTGTAAAAAATCAATAAAAATATTTTAAAAAATAAAAATAAAAAAAATATCCCTCACCAAACATTAATTGATTATTAAAATTTTTCGTAGAAAACTAAGTGAATTCAGCTTAATTCCCAAATAATTACTTTTTTCTTATATATACAGAATAGTGATATTGATGGAACTTTTCCTAGCAAAACAAATATTCTGGGCTTCTGGCTAGCTATAGATAATTAAGAATGTGTTAAAAATAGAAAATGTAACCTCTATTTTGTCAAGTAACAAATTTCTAGAATTTAGATAAATTTCTAAAGCAAAAATAATTGGTCCATGATAGGTCCTAAATTCCAGATACTCTGAGTTAGTGATAGTAATAACAGGTGATCTGAAGTCTTTGAACACTTCAGTTAATACTGGAAATATCCAGGAGAGTTATGCTTGAGAAATACTTGACAAACTAGAAAATGTTTTTGCTTTCTATTTTTCTGAGATTCAGAACAAGAGCTGAGCCTCTTCTGTTATTTTAGGTAGGTCTGAACACATGATAATCTCTGATCCCTGGCTATCTGGTTGAAAGCAGGGTTAAAGTATTCCTAGGTTGTCATTTTACAAATAAAATTTGCTCTGTTATATGGAGTTCAAAGGTATTATAGCAGCTTATTCCACATTTCTTCTTACTTATTTACATAAGGTTATAGAATTAAGTACATTTTATAGTTAGGCTTTTAAAACAAGAACCTATTTTTAAAGTATAGTAGGTATAACAGTCAAAGTGATGCCATTTAGCTATCCTTCCATTTTTTCCAATTCTGAGTCTTCAGATAGGGAACTGTCATTAGAATAAGCCACACCAGGAGACATATTGTATAGAAAGAATATGTGAGGAATTTGGTGTGGGTTTTCATTCTTGGACCATTGGTTGGATGTTGCAGGTAGCCTAAAAGTTGGGTCAGCCTCAGGATGTCTCCCAAGTAGGCATTACTGTTTGGATCATTAGTCTTTTCCCAGGATTTAGTACTCTGATAATACTGTTTTGTTTTTTTTGTTTTGTTTTGTTTTTTCTTCATTTATTATTACTCTGGTCTTATTTATTGGCATATTTGTGGCCTACACTCCCACGTCATGGTTACTCTAAGTTAGGAACTATTTTAAATTGGCTCAAGTGCTTCCATACTTTTTAGAATATTTTAAATTAATGAGTCATATCCTAGAATATTTTTTAGTTAGCAGTTGTAAACATGGTAATGTTTACTTTCATAAAATAGTACTTACAATCTCTATACTAATAAAAAGGTAATATGCTAATTAGACCAGGAGACCTTCTGGATGTCCTTCTGGACAAAACCATGGTGGTGGGGCTGAGGCAGAGATGATTAGGAACAATCACCAAAGGAGGGGAGGGCAGTTGGAGGTGATCAGGCCGGCAAGGTGGGGCAGTTGGGGATAGGAAGGCCATGGAGGTGGGGAGGGCGGGGAGGTTGGGAGGGAGCAGGCTGGTGGGGGAGGGCAGTTGGGGGTGAGCAGGCCAGTAGGCAATGTTATGGGTGATCAGGCAGTCAGGCAGGTGACTGGTTAGGAGCCAGTGGTCCCCGATTGTGAGAGGGATGTCCCAGATTAGAGAGGGTGCAGGCCTGGCTGAGGGATACCCCCATGCACGAATTTCATGCACTGGGCCACTAATCTCTATCATAAAAACCCCCGTGGTCATGACGCTGTCACGGTGGCATGACTAAAGACTGGTCACCAGGAGGCTGAGTGTACGGCGCTAGTGGGGACTTGACACTAACGCAGGTGGGTGGGGCTGTGAGCACAGTGGAGCGGCGGGCAGGTGGGCAGAGTTGTGAGATTTCATGTGCTGAGCTTCTAGTACATAAACATGTTTGACCCTTGCTTTTTTTTCTTTTCTCCAGAGATAAGATAATTTCAAACTAATGTCAAAGACTTATTCTATACATACATTTGTAGAACAGGTTAAGATTGTTCAATGGTTAAGATAGTACACTGTTAATTGATTTCTGAAAGCTACAGATGGTTTTTACATCTTTGTTGAAAATTGAGAATTCTCAAACTGTGTCTTTATTTAATATGAAATAGCCTTTAATTCATTTCTTTGAGCATAATCATATAATGTATAAAGTTTTGTTTTGCAGAATAAGGAAAAATTGGAGAAGCTGAAAAGTCAAGCTGATCAGTTTTGCCAAAGACTTGGGAAATATCGCATGCCTTTTGCTTGGACTGCGATCCATTTAATGAATATTGTTAGCAGTGCTGGGAGTTTGGAAAGAGATTCTACAGAGGTAGAAATTAGTACTGGAGGTAAGAGTGTTTTATATAAAATATTTCTAAATATTTAATTTTTTCTTTTTTCTTACATAAGCTTGTTTTATGTGTAGACTTTGCAATGTGATGAGTCATACATAGATTTCTTTTTTTTTTGTCTTTTGTTAAAACCTTAACAGTTTTTTTGAGATGTAATTTGCATACCATATATTTTACCTATTTAAAGTGTATAATTCAGTGTTTATTTAAAACAGCAGGGGAGGGCAGTTGTAGGGGGACTAGACCTGCAGGGAAGGGCAGTTGGGGGGGACCAGGACAGCAGGGGAAGGCAGTTGTGGGCAATCAGGCCAGCAGGAAGGGCAGTAAGGGGTGACTGGGACAGCAGAGGAGAGCAGTTGGGGGAGACCAGGCCTCCAGAGGAGGGCACTTGGTGGGGGGGACCAGGACAGCAGGGGAGGGCAGCTGGGAGAATCAGGCCAGCAGGGGAAGATATTTGGGGGGAATCCAGGTCTACAGGGGAGGGCAGATGCGGGGGAACCAGACTTGCAGAGGAGGGCAGTTAGGGGTGACCAGGCCAGCAGGGGAGGGTAGTTATGCAATCGGGCCAGCTGAGGAGCAGTTAGGCATCGATCAGGCTGGCAGGGGAGTGGTTAGGGGGTTATCAGTCTGGTAGGCAGAAGCAGTTAGGGGCAATCAGGCAGAGGCAGGTAAGCAGTTTGTAGCCAGCAGTCCTGGATTGTGAGAGGGATGTCCAATCTCCTGTTTAGGCCTGATCCCAGTTGTACATCCCTCAATGGGTCCCAGATTGAGAGGGTGCAAGCTGGGCTGAGGGACAACTTTCACCACCACCCCCCTGCACAAATTTTGTGCACTGAGCCTCTAGTGTCTAAATAAACAATGTACATAATTTAATTTAAAATGCTTTCTTGCTAAAATATCCTAACTATCATCTGAGCCTTCAATGAGTTATAAAGTTTTTGCTGGTGGAGAGCCTTGACTCAGTGTTAATGTCTGTTGACTGATTAGAGTGGTGATGGCTGAAGGTTGGGGTATCTGTGGCAGTTTCTGAAAATACAACAGCAATGAAATTTGCTGCATTAATTGACTTTATTTTGCCAATGATTTCTCTATAGCATGTGATGCTGTTTGATGGCATTTTACCTATAGAACTTTTTTCATAATTGGAGTCAGTTTTTTTAAACCCTGCTGCTGTTTTTCATCTAAGTTTATATAATTTCTATATTCTTTGTTGTCATTTCAACAATCATCATAGTATCTTCATCAGGAGTCAATTCTATCTCAATCTACTATAAGAAGCAATTCCTCATCTATTAATGTTTTATCATGAGATGCAGCAATTCAGTCATTTCTTCAGGTTCCACTGTTAAGTCTAGTTCTCTTGCTGTTTCCACCACATCTGCAGTTACTTCCTCCATTGAAATCTTCAACCACTCAAAGTCGTCATTAGTGAGGGTTGGAATCAACTTCTTCCAAACTCCTGTTAATATTGGTATTTTGACCACTTCACATGAATCTGTTATTCTTAATGACATTTAGAATGGTGAATCATTTCCAGAAAGTTTCAGTTTACTTGACCAGATCCATCAGAGGAATCAGTATGGCAGATAAATCCTTATGAAATGTATTTTGTAAATAAAAAGACTTAAAAGTTGAAATTACTCCTTGATCCATAGGCTGCAGAATGGATGCTGTGTTAGCAGGCGTGAAAACATTAATGTTGTACATCTCTATTAGATCTATTGGGTGACCAGGTGCATTTTCAATGAGTAGTAATATTTTGAAAGGAATATTTTTTTCTGAGCAATAGGTCTTAAGAGTGGGTTTAAAATATTCAGTGAATAATGCAGGCAGATGTGCTATCATCCAGGCTTTGCTGTTCCTTTTATAGAGCACAGGCAGAGTAGATTTAGCATAATTCTTAGGACCCTAGGATTTTTGGAATGGCAAATGATTATTGGCTTCTATGTAAAGTCAGCAGCTGCTTTGGCCCCTAACAACAGAGTCAGGTTTTGAAGCTTTGAAGCCATTCATTAACTTCTCTTTAGCTATAAAAGTCCTAGATAGCACCTGCTAACATAAGGCTGTTTGTCTCTATTAGGAATCTGTTTAGTGTAGTCACCTTCATTGGTTATCTTAGCTAGATCTTCTGGATAACTTGCTGCAGCTTTTATATCAGCACTTGCTGCGTCACCTTGCAATTTTATGTTATGAAGATGGCTTTTTTCTTTACACCTATGAACCAGCTTCTGCTAGCTTCAAACTTTATATTGGCATCTTCCTCACTTCTCTCAGCCTTCATATGATAGAATTGAAGAGAGTTAGGATCTTGCTTTGGATTTGGCTTTGGCTAAACGGAATGTTGTGGGTAGTTTGATCTTCTATTTAGACATTCTCCATATCCTATATAGTAAAACATTCTCCATATCCTATATAGTAAAAGGCTAATATGCAAATTGTCCCTTCAGGTATTAGACAGACCTGGAGTTTGCCCACTTGCTATGATGTGTGCTCACCACAAGGGGGCAGTAAAGGATGAAGGTAGGCCCCAGCCTGCAGCTGGAAGGAAGGCCCTAGCCAGCAGTCAGAAGGCCCCAATCAGACCTGATTGCTGGCCTACCTGTGCTCGAATTTCATGCACTGGGCCTCTAGTCAAGAGTAAGGCTGTTTCAGTTTCTTAACTTTTGTGTGATCACTGGAGCAGCACTTTTTAAATTTCTTTCAAGAACTTTTCTTTGCACTTACAAATTGGCTAACTCTTTGGTGCAAGAGGCCTAGCTTTCAGCATATCTTGGCTTTCAACATTCCTTCCTCACTAAGCTTAGTCATTTGTAGCTTTTGATTTAAAATGAGAAACATAGGACTCTTTCTTTTACTTGAATACTTGGAGGCCATTGTAGGATTATTATTTGGCCAGTTTCAGTATTGTTGTGTTTCAGGGAATTGGGGTCTCTAGGAGAGGAGAGAGATAGGGGAACAACCCATAAGTGGAGCAATCAGAACACACATTTTTTAAAAAAATATATATTTTATTGATTTTTGTACAGAGTGGAAGGGAGAGAGATAGAGAGTCCGAAACATCAATGAGAGAGAGTCATTGATCAGTTGCCTCTTGCACACCCCCTACTGGGGATATGCCCGCAACCAAGGTACATGCCCTTGACCGGAATCGAACCCGGGGCCCCTCAGTCCCCAAGCTGATGCTCTCTCCATTGAGCCAAACAGGTCCCGGCAGAACACACATTTATTAAGTTTGCTCTCTTAACTTTGTGGTGCCCGAAAACAATTACAATAATAACATCAGAGATCATTGATGATAGAGTACCATAACAAATATAATAACAGTGAAAAAGTTTGAAATAGCTCTAGCCGGTTTGGCTCACTAGATAGAGTATTGGCTTGCAGAACAAAGTGTTCTGGGTTCAATTCCAGTCAAGTGCACTTACCTCAGTTGTAGGCTCCTCCTTGACTTGGGCCCTGATCAGGGCACCTGCAGGAGGCAGCCAATCGATATGTTTCTCTCACATTGATATTTTTTTCCTATCTTTCACTCTCTTCCACTGTCTCTAAAAATCAATGGAAAAATATCTTCAGGTGAGGATTGAAAAAAAAAGTTTGAAATATGATAATTACCAAAATGTGAACAGGGACAAATTGAGCAAATACTATTGGAAAATGGCACCAATAGAGTTGCTCAATGCCACAAATCTTTAATATGTAAAATTAAAATGTAATATCTGTAGAGTGCAATAAAACAAGATATACCTATATATAATCTGTTTTAGAGAATATCTTATGTGTGCTTGAGAAGAATGTGCACTTACCTTTTGTTTAGTGGAGTATATTGTAGATGTCTAGTAGGTCTAGTTTGTTTATAGTTTTAAATCTTTAACATAATTATTTTATTTTGTTTGAATAGTAGGGTTATCTTGCAAAAATTTGAATAAAAATTTCAAATTCAAGTGCTATAAGACTGAGGGACCATATATAGAGACTAAAATTTATAGTTCCTCTATATCTGATCTTCTTAGCTCATCTTTGGTCATATGCATAATCTTTGTGTGGTAATTACCTTTTTTGCCTCCCCCCTCCCCCCCCCACATTGGAGAATTTTAAAGAGAATCGGAAGATTTAGATGTAATATTTCCTTACTGATCCCCAGAAGTGAATTTCTTCTACTATAATCAATATGCTAAGTAGTTAATTTTCAACCTTAGTGGATTTCCACCCTGTGTTTGGAAAGCTGCTTTAAAACAACTTTTTTAAATATTAAAAAAAATGAATATTTTACTTTTTTTTTTTTTTCTTTGTAGAAAGAAAAGGGTCCTGGTCAGAGAGGAGGAATTCTAGTATTGTTGGCAGACGATCACTTGAAAGGACAACCAGTGGAGATGATGCTTGTAATCTGACCAGCTTTCGACCTGCTACGCTCACAGTGACAAATTTTTTTAAGCAGGTATTGTTCTGTCATGTAGGAATTTTAGGGAATTATTTGTTCGTAAATTTCTTTTGGTTTCAGCCAAGGCTGGTTTGGCTCAGTAGATATAGCGTCGGTCTGCGGTCTGAGGGGTCCCGGGTTCGATTCCGGTCAAAGGCATGTACATTGGTTGCGGGTACATCCCTGGTAAGGGTGTGCAAGAGGCAGCTGGTCGATGTTTTTCTTTATCGACGTTTCTAGCTCTCTATCCTTCTCCCTTTCAAAATAAATAAATAAATAAATAAATAAATAAATAAATAAATAAATTTCTTTTTTCATAAAAATCATGCACATGTAGTACTTTTACATACAATAATTGATAGTAATTTCAAGAAATTAAAAAATTTAAGAATAAAATAAAATATGTAAAAATAAATGATATGTTTTATCATTTTATTTAAATAGTGACATTGACTAACAATGCATCAGAATCAATCCTCCATATCTATATTCTATTAATTGTAATATTTTAACTTTTCTTAAGTATTCACAGTTTATGGATTTTTATAGAGTGATTATGTGGTTATATTTGTCCTCCAAACCCAAGTTGTTGTTTTTTTACCTAACCTATCACGTCCATGGTATATGGACTAGAACTTTCAGGTCTTAGTGATGCATCTCGGTACCAAAATGCCATTACTATTTTTAAAGGTGAATTTGTAAGTCTAAGAAGTTCTTAAAGATATTTTATTCTTTGCAAGTTATGTTTTGTACACTTCAAATCTTGAGTCAAATCAGTATTTTTTAAATGCTGGTCATGATCCATTAATAGTAATAGAAATTTAGTATATAATACCCAGCATAAAAACAAAACCTGTTAGAATAGAAATATAATACTGCTTCAATGAGCTTTATTCCCCCTTGTTTTTTTTTGAGTGTATGCATACTGGATTTTGAAGTAAAATTAATTTTATAATGTGAACCAAAGATCAGAAAAATTTTAAAGCCTTTTGCATAAGCAGATGACCAGAACCATATAATTATGGAAGAAAATTTGTATTAGTGTGACAAACTGTGACACGTGTTTTAGAGCAGATTAAAGGAATGCAAAATATTCCCTCAAAATTCCTCCTTTTGAGATGTTATTCTAAGTATAGGGAGGAAGCCAAAACTGGTTTGGCTCAGTGGATAAAGCGTCGACCTACAGACTGAAGGGTCCCAGGTTCGATTCCAGTCAAGGACCATGTACCTTGGTTTCAGGCACATCCCCACTAGGGGGTATGCAGGAGGCAGCTGATCAATGTTTCTCTCTCATTGATGTTTCTAACTCTCTCCCTCTCCCTTCCTCTCTGTAAAAAATTAATAAAATATGTTAAAAAAATAAATAAATATATGGAGAAAATCCTGGCCTTCTGATACCTTGTAACTTGAGAGAGCTAGATTTTAGAGCAGGATGTGCCATGAGTTGACAGATAACAATGTACTGGAAGTGCCTTTCACAGTTATCCATCAATAGCATTCATAGGCAACTGCTCTGAGACACTCGGATGGAAAATAAAGCAGGTAAGAAGTGTCTGAAGTGGTAAGGGTCTTTTTATTATAAACTAGAGGACCGGTGCATGAACCGGTGGAGTTCCTTGGCCTGGCATGTGGAGATCGGGCCAAAACCGGCTCTCCGACATCCCCTGAGGGGTCCCAGATTGGGAGAGTGTGGTTCTCGGGTGATGCACCCTAGAATCTGGCTCCCCCCTCTCTTGTTCTGTGTCACCCAAGAGCCATAGCTGCCAAGTTGCTGCAGCTCGGCAGCTCCTGTGTTGAACGTCTGCCCCCTGATGGTCAGTGCGCATCATAGCTACTGGTTGGACAGTCGGATGGTCACCTAGACTTTTATATATAGAGATTGTAGTACAAGAAAAGAGTATAGAAAAGGCTTACTTCAGTCTTACTTCGATAAGGTGATAGCCAAGTACAGCTATGGAAACAGCGGTAGATTTACCTGTTACTATGACACACAGCCTCACAACTATGACATTTTTCTCTTTGTGCCTCTTCAGCTGCTACATCATTTCTGCTATTTTCAAAGCTTTTCTTTTCTTTCCTTTTCTTTCCTTTTCTTTCCTTTTCTTTTCTTTTCTTTTCTTTTCTTTTCTTTTCTTTTCTTTTCTTTTCTTTTCTTTTCTTTTCTTTTCTTTTTCAGCTGCTTTATCATTGAACTGGTATTGTAAACTCAAATCAACAAGTTATCCATCCACCTACCCACCTATTTATTCAAAGGTACTTTATTGAGCATTCACCATGTACTGAGCATCATTCTACCCACCTACGTATTTATCCAACAAATACTTTTTTGAGTATTCACCATGTACTAGAGACTGGTAACTGGAAACTAGCACAAACTACTTGTGAAACTTAAAAATCAATGATTGCTGGAGACATAGAGCAACAGAAAGCATTAACATTTGACTTTTTAGGGCTCTGTACTAGTATTATATATCAGGCAAATTAAGTAAAAAGCGGAGATTATAATTTTAATAAAGAGAATTTAAGGCATAATTATCTCCTAAATGAGATACAGAAAGCAGGTGTTTTTTTGTTTGTTTTTTTAAATATATTTTTTATTGGTTTTGTACAGAGAGGAAGAGAGAGGGATAGAGAGTTAGAAACATCGATGAGAAAGAGTCATCAATCAGCTGCCTCTTGCACAACCCCTACTGGAGATATGCCCGCAACCAAGGTACATGCCCTTGACCGGAATCGAACCCGGGACCCTTCAGTCCCCAAGCCACTGAGCCAAACCGGTTTTGGCTTGTTTTTGTTTTTAAAAATTGATGAGCAATTACTACTCATGATTAGGATATAGTAATCAGTGCTTATGTACAGATTTTAAATGTGACAAGCTAAAGTTATTAGAAATATATGAAGATTTAAAAATAAAATCAAATTTACACAATAGTTTCAAGGGCATTTTTTCTATTTATTAAAATGTGTGTAAGTTGTTGCTTTAGGAATACACAACAGTAAACCTGGAGTGTGGAGAAGGGATTGTTAGCTAGGTTCATTCCCATGTTTAGAGGTTGACCAGGGTCAGCTGATCTAGACTGACTTTTGGGAAGACAGAAATAACAGACCTCCTTCATGTTTCTCAACTTGTACTCTCATCATTTAGCAGGCTAGCTTGGTCATGTTCTCATAGCAGTGGCAGAAGTTCAAGAGGGAGGGCAAGCTTAGTTGTGCAAATATTTTTGAAGTTTTTGCGTCATCTTTGCTTATTGGCCAAAACAAGCTTGAGGAGGGAGTTAATGTCCCACCTAACAAAAGGTATGGAAACAGATACGGAGTAAAGAATGGGGGTTAATAATATAATCAATTTCACAGGTTAAGTAGACAGAAATAATTGAATCTGAAGATAATCTTAATGTCTGTGTCTCTCTCTCTCTCTCTCTCTCTCTCTCTCTCTCTCTCTCTCTCTCTCTATATATATATATATATATATATATATATGCCTAATATGCTAAGTGTTTGACTGTTTGGTTGACCATTCGGTTGACTGCTTGACCAGTCACTATGACGTGCACTGACTACCCGGTGGCAGATGCTCTGACTGGTAGGTTAGTTTGCTACTGGGGTCTGGTGGATCGGGACTAGGCGAGATTGGCTGGATGTGCCCTGGAGCCAACCTCCCGTGACCCCTCCCTGGCCTCTAAAATATTTCTTCTAATTAATTCCCCTTCAATGTGCGTGAATTTTTGAACCAGGCTTCTAACTATAAATAAGACCCATTTAAAGATGTATTTAATTTTGTATTCAAAAGAAGAGAAGATATTGTTTTAGCAACTGATAGAACATTTGTAATAATTACATGTTAGGTCACTGAAGAAATCTTCAGATTCAAATTTGCTAATCATAACTCAATAAAACTAAAAACTATAAAAGTATCAACAAAAACCTCCAACTTCTTAGAAAGTAAAAATCACTTTTCTAGATAGTGGGATAAAAGATGAGCAATTCCGCCGAAACCGGTTTGGCTCAGTGGTAGAGCGTCGGTCTGCAGACTGAAAGGTCCCGGGTTCGATTCTGGTCAAAGGCATGTGCATTGGTTGCGGGCACATCCCCGGTAGGGGGTGTGCAAGTGGCAGCTGGTCGATGTTTCTCTCTCATCGACGTTTCTAGCTCTCTCTCTCTCTCCCTTCCTCTCTGTAAAAAAATCAATAAAATATATTTAAAAAAAAAAAAAAAAAGATGAGCAATTCTGTATCCTGTTCAGAACATAGTGAGCAGGTGGAATATATAGCTCAGGGTGAGCTTATAATAGTAAAGTAACCTTAAATCTATTTAAGATAAAAAGATGACATGAACTATGCTTTAAAACCACTAAGATATTAAATGCAGGAGGTTGAAATTAATAAGCTAAAAACTACTAAATTAAAAACCAAAATGAACCCCTACCTATTTAATTGCAAAACATGACATTAAATTGAAAAAAATTTATTAATTAGGTATGGTTTGGTTTGGTTTGTCTCTTTTTCCAGGATGGAGGTCTTTTCAGTGTTATTTTCTTTCTGGTTTAGTATCAAGATATTTATACTTTATTTCAAGAGAACTTTTTGTTATTACTTCTTTCCTTTTGTATATTTAGTCAATGCTATATATTTTGCATTTGAGAGGCTTGGTGATATAAAGTTGAAAAGAAATATAAACTTAAGAGTTATAAGTTTTTAAGATTGTCATTATATATATGTCTGTTTTATATCAATATTCATTTTTTTATCCTTTTCATCTATTTCTAATTTGTATTGATTTTCCATATTTTAGAGTTCCCTGTAATACCTTATAAACAAATGGGCTACAAATACATATATAAAATTTAAAAACAGATAGCAATATCATATAGCTCAATAAAATTTGAAAGCATAAAAAGGAAATAAGTCAGCATATTGACTTTTAATCACAATTATATTAATTTTACTTTTCACTTTGACTCAAATGAAGGAAGACGGGCAGGATTATTAACAAGCAGTATTTTAAATCTACCATATTTATTTTATCAAATAATTTTTCCTTTGTTTTCAAAATCAGGAAGGAGACCGGTTAAGTGATGAAGATCTGTACAAATTCCTTGCTGATATGAGAAGGCCATCTTCTGTTTTACGGAGACTAAGACCTATTACAGGTATTTAAAATTTTTAACTAGAAATAATTATAACTTATCATCACAAATGTATTATATTGTTTGTAATATGTATTCCTTTTTCATTTGCTTGGCCCATATGTCTGTCTATGTTCAATGCTTGTCATTACTCTTCATCTCATTCTACCCTCATGTGGTCTGACAGTTTGAAGGCAGGAACCTTTGATAATTTAAGAACTGAAAATTTTATTGATTATGGTATCACATAATTGTGAAATGGTAAAATTTTACAAACTGATTCATATTATGATCTGAGCAAACCATTCCAGAGAACAACTATCTATTAAGCCTACCAAGTTTAAATTAAACATTTAATCTTTGAAATGGTAGATTGTTCCTGTGCTAGATTTCTATTTGTTTTGTTTTGTTTTGTTTTGTTTTGTTTTGTTTTGTTTTTCCTGCTTCTTCCTTCCCATTCATTAATTAATTCACTCAGTATTTTACATGTATTTATGTCTGTCTCAGGAATTTAAACCTTTGAGACTTGCTAAAGTGACATGATTTAGAGGACTGAGACAATAATAATTTTGGTTTCTTCCCAGTTTTTTTTCAAAAATATTATCTAGATTCATTCAAAAACATTTTTAATATGAAGTTTTTATTTATTATGTTTACATTGTTTTTACAATATATTTTTATATGCAGCTCAGCTGAAGATAGACATTTCTCCAGCACCTGAAAATCCTCATTATTGCCTAACCCCGGAGCTGCTTCAGGTGAAGCTTTACCCTGACAGTAGAGTTAGACCTACCAGAGAAATTTTGGAGTTTCCTGCTAGGGATGTTTATGTTCCAAACACTACTTACAGGTAATACATTTTAATTTTGGAGAATTTTGAAATAAGATACTATACTAATAGTAATATAGAACTAGAATGAAACTCTCCAAAACTCCTTTTTAGCTTTGTTACTTGTTCCATTTCTTACCACATAACTGTATTAATAGCTGTAATGTATGAAGCTTTTACTGTGTGCCAGATAAAATCTTAATTATTTTACATACATTATCTTACTTAATTCTCATAACTTGAGGTATGTGTTATCTTCATTTTAGAAGTGAATAAACAGATGGAGAGGTTAGTTTACTTGAGTGTGGTGGAACTAGCACTTGAATCATGGGCTATTTGTTTAAAACATTTGAATTTCTAGTTCCTATTTTTTCTCAAATGTTCAGCAGAATCTAGTATTACACATGAATCAAGTTTAATTCCTACACTATGTTCTAACAATAACAGTATTTGGAAAATATATATTATTTAGAGAATACCTGACATGAGGTTATTGGGTAAGCTATTTTGGCTGAACACTACATACTAGTGTTCCATGGGTACCATTTACATATACTTTTTATAAATGATGCTTCCCACATTTTATGAATGCTGAGACTTGATAAGTATGTTGGGATATTCAACAGAGCAGCTCAGACATAAGATTCTAATGCATACTTCCCCGTCTTAGCATATTTCACCACGATTTACCCAGTTCCTGGGGCCAAAATTTTGGGGATCAAAATGATTTCCCTTCTTTCTTACTCCTCCATTTACTCCCCATTTACTCCTGGAACAAGTTTTATAGACTTTAATTTTTAAATTTATCCCAAATCTAGTATTTCTTATGTCTTCCACTCTCAAAGTCTAAGTCACCATGTAGGTCAGCATTGTCAAATAACAATATAATACTAACCACATTTGTAATTTAAAATTCTATAGTTGTTACATTAAAAAAATATTTATATGCAGAATATAAGAAACAAGTGAAATTAATGTTTATATAAGAAACAAGTGAAATTAATTTTAATATGTTGTTTAACCCAATATACCTAACATATCATTTTGACATGTACTAAATATAAAAATTATTGAAATATTTTACTTATTTTCTCTACTACTAAAGTCTTCAAAATCTGAGGTGTATTTTACTTTTACTGGTAAAGCACTTCTCATTTCAGATGCTAAAGAGCCATGTGAGACTAGAGGCTATTGTATTTGGATAGCTAATCTTGAATTTTGTTGTACCTTTCTAATTTGATTATATTTCTACTCCTGCCTCAACATTGCAGCCAGAGAGGTTTTTAAAAATTAAAAATCAGATCATTCATTCCTCTTTCTAGAGCTCTCTAGTTGTTTCCATTATAAGCAAAAAAAGAATGATTTTTTTAATATTTGTCTATAAGACTCTACATATCTGTCTTCTGTCTTTAACTTCATGCCCATCTAATCTCTGCTTTGCTTATTTCATTTGAGGCTCAATGGCCTTTTTATTTATCCTGTACAAATAAAATTCAGGTCTACATAAGACATTCTATTTGTTTTCTTTGCCTGTCATTTCCCCCCAGATTTCTATATGACTTGGTTCCTTTCTCAAACATGTGTGTCTTAAAGGTCACTTCTTAGAGAGGCTTATTCTTATCACCCTACCTAAAATGATCCACTGCTTCCCTCCTCTAGTTCTTTACCCTTATTGTATTTATCATTATCTGACATTATAATATATAGTCATGGGATCACTTTTGTCTTTCTCATTAGAATGTAATTACTGTAAATGCCAGGGACTTGTTTTTGTTTATTGCTTTATCTTCAGCATCTACATGAGTGTGCTAGCACACCAAAAGCATATAATAAATATTTATTCAATGAATTAAGAAACTGAAAACTAGACACTGGCTAAGGGTGGGATTTAAAGTGTACAGATAAGAATTTATAAAAGTAGTTTTTATGTTTGAGATGGAATCCTTGACTTTATATTTTTAAAAAGGTCATTAAAACCTTATTTTATAAAGGTTATTGTGGGAGCTAGTTAAGCATATCTTCATGACCTTGAACTGCACATTTCACACTGATTGAGTAATTTTGACCTAGTCTATTTTCCATGAGAACACTTTGGACTTTGTTAAAAAGACCAATTATTGTGTCCCTTTTCAATTTAGAAAACTGTTGTGTTGGATGGTCACTTGGTGATACATGCAATGCTTGTGATTGTTAGTGATGGGAAAAATCAAGGAAATTTGATTATTCTTTAACTTAAGGTGAAATATGTAGCCATACATATTTGGGATAGGTTTCATAAAGGAGGCAAGTGGGGGGTACTGAATAAATACTGGTTAATGAGTACATTTTTGGTTAATGAGTGATTTCCATGAGTCATACTATTAGGAAGGAACGATACAGGCATGAAAACATGCTGACTCTAAGATGAAAAAGAGTGGATAAATAGATTGTACTGAAATAGGTAATCCTGAAAAAAAGAAATGAGTATACTTGCTCTCAGTAAAAATCACACTGGTTCAGAGTAAACTTTTGGTGTAGAAATTTTGCAATACAGTGGTCTCCCTGTATTTGCAGGTTCCAAGATCTCAAAGGATGCCTAAAATCCCTGGGAATGACAAACTCTGTATAGTAAAAATCCCCACTTACTGTTATGGATAGATTCTTTGACTTTAAGTGAAATGACATGTAGCAAAACCAACTTTATCGTATCCTAATAGATATAAACAAGAGTTAAGTTTCTATAGCATCTCATCAGCATTAGAATGAAATGATGTTGAATGAAATTATGTTATTTGAGGAACTGCTATATTGTATTATACTATGTTTTTTCCTATACATACATACCTATTATAAAGTTTAATTTATAAATTAGGTACAGTAAGAGATTAACAACAACTAATAATAAAATAGAATAATTATGTCAATAACTGTATTAAAAGTTATGTGAATGTGGTATCTCTGTTTCAAAATATCTTACTGTACTGTACTTACTCTTTTGTGATATTGTGAGATGATATAAATGCCTACATGATGAGACGAAGTGAGGTGAATGATGTAGGCATTGTGATGTAGTGTTAGGCTACTAATGACCTTCTGACAGTGTATCAGGAGATCATCGAGCCATGATGATGTCATGTCTTCTACCAACAAATGTAATGCCTTCCATCTTTTTAAAAAATATATATATTTTTGATTTTTTTACAGAGAGGAAGGGAGAAGGATAGAGAATTAGAAACATCAGTTAGCTGCCTCCTGCACACCCCCTACTGGAGATGTGCCCACAACCAAGGTACATGTCCTTGACTGGAATCGAACCTGTGACCCTTCATTCCACAGGCCGACTCTCTATTCACTGAGCCAAGCTCTATCCACTGAGCCAAACCCGTTAGGGCATAATGCCTTTCATCTTATCTAAGCACTTATGCACTGGGCTATCACTTTGGCATTTTGAGATGTGACAGCAAAACTTACCACAAGCTTTTTTTTTCTTCTTCATCATTTCACGGATAGAAGATTTGTTCTTACTGTAGGTTTAGAAGCCTCAGAATATGATGTTTTTTCTTTCTTTAGTAAGTCTAGAATTTTCATCTTTCACTTAAAGGAAGCACTTTAAGATTTCTCGTTGGCTTATCCTAATTGCCTGCATCACTATTCTTGTCCTTTAGAGACCATTTTAATCAAAATAAGGTTTACTTGGACACAAGCCCTGTAATTTACTACAGTTGATCTGATCACCTAGGCAGCTATTAAGTGACTATTGCGTATGTAGCATCTCCAGCTTGGAGATGTTGGTCAAAGGGATATTCATCATATCTTGGACAGGATGAAGTTGGACGATGCGAGATTTCATCATGCTACTCAGGAGAGTGCACAGTTTAAAACTTGTAAATTAAAAAGAACACCTTGTGAATTGTTTATTTCTGAAATTTTCCATCTAATATTTTTGGACCATGGTAGAGCATGGATAATTGAAAATATGGAAACAAGACTGCAAATAAAAGAGGGAATTACAGTAATTCACTAAAATCAAGTAGATTGACTATCTTTGCTCTTGGAGTTTTTATTTCTCTCGAAATTTATATTACTATGTTTGTCAGATTTACTTTTCTGTTTTATCTTCATTTCTTAAGTGTCATTTGAAGGCACAAATAGTAATGCTGCATGCAAGGTTGCAGAGGTAGGAGCCTCCATTTACTAGTTATTTGTGGAAAAATGGCATTATCTATAACTTGAAGTATAAATAGAACCTAGCAAGTAGAAAGGTCTGGGAGGCATTCTAGGCAAGTGGAAAGTCATTAGGAAAGTATATAGGGAATGCTTAAAAGTAGGTAATTTTTATTAGAGCTGAGGGTTTATGTTGGGCAAGAAATGCTTAAAGAGGTAATTAGGGTTCAGATTATAAAAATCCTTGAGTACCTGGAAGAGATTTGGATTTCATTCTAAGGCTTATGCTCTTTTAGTTGGGGTACATGTTCATGTGATGGCATAGCTAGATGGGACATGCAAGTCCATAGGATAAACATGACACATCTTCCAAGAAATTCACTTCTTAGAAGATTTGGGGAGGAAATAACTATTTTTATTTAAAGATAGATTGGTGGAGTAGAAAACACAATTTGCATGTAATTTTAAGATAAGATCATAAAATTTAAGATAAAGTCCTATTACAATTCTAAAGTAAATCTTTGCTTATATCAAGCCATTTTATCCTATAACTGCAGAATCTATAAGGATATGTTTTCATTATCTTTTCTTTGTTATATTCTTTTAGTAGATAGTTTGAACGACACAAGTTGAAGCAGTATATAGCCATTACAAATTTGTTTTACGAAGATTGAGGGGCGAAAGACATAAAATTAGGAACCCAGGTAGGAGACTATTTAGATAATTTTAAGACTCAGGTTAAAGGCAGTCCTTGGTAGAAATGGGAAGAAAGCATATCAGGTTGAGAGACTGCAAAAGAAGATTATGCCAGATTTATCAGATTAAGAGACTTTTCAAAAGAAGATTGTGATGGATTTAGTGGTTTATGATGGAGAGGT